GGGGCTCCTGGCCTTACTACTAGGAGCAAGGACGCTATTAGGGGCTCTTGGCCTTACTACTAGGAGCAAAGATGGTGCTCATCTTGAAAAGTTCGGAAAGCTCTGGGATTGTATATGAGTCAGAAATTGAACTGCAAGCTAGGCTCGCAATCAACCAAGTTCATAGTGGAATTCAGCACAGGGAACTGCTTTTGCAGATCTCTCAAGTGATGCAGAAAGAAGGAAGCTCGGCCTGGATCCCTTGACACTTGACACCTTTTAGAAAACTCTGTCCGTCCACCCCCCGATGCATTCTTGATAATCTTAGTCTTCCACATATGTGCCAAGTGGGTTGAGTTTATTTAAAGAAAAATATTGACTGAGACAATCCATCGCTACTCGGTTGGGGGCCATCGCTAGCTACCTAGCTACTAGCTATCGACCTCTATGGCCTGAAAAACTCTGCTGACAAGAGCTTGTTGGCTGTGGGGCGGCAAGTAGCCCCCCGCGGTCTAACAAGAGAAAACAAAGTCTGAGACAATCCTCAAAAGTCTAGACCTCATACTTTGAGCTGCAATCTGAAACAAAATAACTCTGCTCGGAGCCGTCTTGAAGAGCGCTAAAAACTCTACACACCGCATGCACTAGATGCATCTAGATGCATCTAAATGCATCTAAGCTAGGATCATCGTATGGTCTTGGTCTTCTGAAAATAGAAATCTATATCTCGATCGGTGACCTTTCAGTTGCTTGCATTGGTTGCCCCCACCCACAAACTTTCACGGTGCTTGATTTGTTTCACTTCTGCAGCCATCGCAATGCTCTCTACGTTCCACGTTCCACCTATGAGAATCTCTATATTCGTCGTACCTCGTGCCCTGCGTGCCCTTTGCTTCATGCCAAGCCACTGGTTCTGCCGGAGCTGGCGCAGTGCTCGGTGGTGCGCTGGTCGGCGGGGAGGGTCCCTTGGGCCGGGGCACAGGGAGCCGCGGCTTCACCGCAGGCCGGACAGGCCTTAGGGCGAGCAGAACACGATGCAGTGAATAAGGAGTAGTCCAAGGAGTGTTTAGAACAACGGCTTCCTTTTGTTCGGTTGAGACAACGTTCTCGTTTATATATAATCTACAAAGAAAGCAGACTTCGTTCTCATTGTTGCTAGCAGTGTTGCTGGTCGTGAAGTTCAAGACATAAATCCGGTTAGGAGTTTGAATGCGACTTTTGAGTTCAAAGCGCGCACACTTCGTCGTAGCGTTCTTACGTCTAGTTGGAGTTCAACAAAGTCAGAGCGAACTCCATGACTCAGTATGAGAGTTCTTAGGTCTTTTTCGCAGGTGGTGGTTTTGATGCCTACAGCCTACAGCTCTTGAGACTTGCTACTGCTCCACATAGTCTTTGAATTTCGTGTCCAGCAACTTCAAAATTTCACTCAACTCTCTGCGCTGCGAACACACTGGTCCACAGATGTCCACAGTATCACCTGAGCTCCATTCTCCCCATAGGGCAGAGTGCCACGGCCAGCACCAGGCCTTCAGACAGCGCAGCACGCCGTGTAGGACGCCGCTCGTTGGACACTGCGCAGGCTGCGGACTCGCTTTGCACACACCGCGCAGGCGCTTGCCGTTTGGAGTTGCGCTTGCCTGATCACTGAAGAGACAGATCCTCGAGCAGAGGCAGAGGACCTGAGATTTGCACAGCCTTTGGGCAGAAGCTGATCAATTGGCCAGGCTCATTCCTGGTATCCTCTCACCTCTATTAACTCAAGATGTTGTCGTAGGAGTCATTTGCAGAATGCTCTGAGATTTTGCCATAGAGGGGGCTGAAATGGCTGCAACCTGGTGGACAAAGCACGACAACACCCTTCTCAAGACATTTCTCAGCGGTTTTTCCCCATCTGGCGCATTCTGCAAGTGAGTCTACACCATCGAAGTGGAATGCAATCTCAGAGTCACACACAGGCTGCCCATGTGCCCTGGCTGGGATCCAAGTCAAAGACACAGCTGCTCAGCCCTGTCGAGGCCTCTGTGGGAACTTGTGGGAAGATTTAGAAAATCTCATACAATATGTACTTCATACAATCTCCGTATGGAGATTTCTTGCGGTCCAAAGGATTTCCCACGATGCGCCTCGCGTAAGGATAACCACCTCAGTCGTCACTGTGTCAGAGAGAATGGACACTTCTCAGATGGCAGAGCGAACGATCCAAACGCGCGGTCTCTCTGAGCGTTCAGAACAGGTTGATTTCAGAACAGGTTGATCAAGTGTTAGGAGAAGCTCCTTTGCTAGAAGTCTCAGTCTCAATCAATCCTAGATGATGCCAGCGTTGAGGCCCACATTGAGAGACCGGCGCATGGCATGCCCTGAGTTGCCTCAGAAACTATCACAAGCGTGAGAGTGTTCTTGCTGAGGACTGCTTTTGGACAACAATTCAAGCTTACCTGCACGTGAGTCCTATGGCCTAATTCCAACAAGCAGCATGTATGTGGGGATCCAGTGAAATTGATAATATACACTATTATACACTAATTAGTGTATGAACCAATGTCAAAATCCTTATTCGCTCCTAATTGTAAGCTTAAGTAAACCAAAATTCCGCGGAAAAGCGGGAGATATTATGTAATAAAGTGCTTGACAACTGGGCATTCACGTTGAAGAGACTTTCTTTGGATATCTTATGCCCACCAAGAACCTCTGGTTGTCACGCCTTCTTTGCGGTCCGCGGCTCGCTGCCAAGGACGCTCTGAGCCACAAGTGCGATGGGTCGTCGCGGGGGGGGAGTTTGGTCCTCCCCGTTCTCCCGTTCTCCACATGGGTCAGGAGCTACTAGTAGCGTCCGATCGCTCCTAGTAGCGATGCCCTTTGCTCCTAGTAGCTTCTTGCTCCTAGTAGTAAGGCCAGGAGCCCCTAGTAGCGTCCTTGCTCCTAGTGGCGATGCCCTTTGTTACTATAGTATGTAAAACTGACTGCTGGGACAACACGTTGGTGCAACGACTGTGGTGTACTCATGTGCGATCGGCTCAGAGTCAAGTGCAACCCAACGCCAATTGGTCAAAACATCAAGACCTACGCTAAACGTTTCATGTTCAGCAGCAGTATATAACAAACAGAATCTCATGGGTCCTGACGATTTACTTGTTCAAGATGCCAAAACCAGCCCAGCACGAATAAAACAACCCCAAAACGACCCCAGGAAAAAAAACACACCAAAACGACCCCGGGACGAAAAAAGCACCCCAAAACGACCCCGGGAGGAAAAAAACACCTCAAAACGACCCAAGGAGGAAAAAAAACAAAACGACCCCGGGACGAAGAAAATCTAGGTCCGTGAATATCACGCATGCCGCATGCCGCATGCCCTCCAATATCACGCATGTCCTCAACACGGGCTATTACTCTAGATTCTCCCACATCAAGAAGCTTGCCAGACAGGTCTACTAAACAAGATTCCAAAACAGTGGCCTGAACTTCATCCAGAACCATCAATTTGAGGTACGAGCTTTGAAGACGACCATCCCCCAACTGTGCAATTTTAGGCCTCTGAACTACAAGTTTCAGGATCCTTTCAGGATCCACGATCGAAAAGTGGAGAGCGAGGCAGGCTGAGGATGCCAAGGACACATCAAAGCTCTCAAGAGTTGGAGGATGAAGAATGCAATCTTTTGAAAGGACAATGAGGGACAAATCAACAAAAAAGTTGAAGAACTCAGCGACAGTAGATGGGTGTTGCTTCCCTTCGATTGAGGTCCGTCACTCACACCTTTTGCCAGGCTCAAACGCCAACAGTTTGTCCCAACGATAGAACAGGAAATGTACGGAATCCAGTACGGAATATCAAGAAATTCTTGGCACATAAACTGGTCTCCACACCAAAAATAGTCATGGTTTTAAAAGTCTTGGATTTCCCATCATGTGTCCTGTCCTGATGGTTTTGGTTTCATTGGTTTATCTCTTTTAGCCTTTCAGCCTGCCATCTGCTCTGAAGATTGGGTCCATGTGGCTGTCACAGAGCAGGACTCTCCATGCCAACAAACATTGGTAGACAATGCAAAGTGATCGTTGAGATTGTTCAGCTGCTGTGCCATCGCTGTTCCCACTTCTGCATTGTCCAGATTCTTCAATGCCATACAAGTTTATGCCTACTAGTGTTTGTCGTCTTATTTCGCTGAAACTATGGAACCTCGAAGGAAGTAATTGATGATGTTCTTCTTGCTGTCACCTGCTTGGAGAAGTTGTGCCTGCCTTGCGTGGAAAATATGCCCAGGACCGAGAGTAAATCATTCACCTCGACCAAGTTAAGCATTCACCAGAGATCGGACCTGGCACTTTGCGACGGGCGATCCTCAACTGTGGGTGCTGATGGGACAATCGTTCTAGTACACGAAAGTTATGGCAATCATGATTTCTTTAGTGGAAGGAACATATCCATAAATCCAGTCAACAAAAAATCTGAGGGATGTAAGCCAATGTAAATCAAAAAATCTGAGGGATGTAAGCCAATGTAAATCAGAACATAACTAATAGTCAAATAGGCGTGTTTGCTTCAGAAAAACAAAGAAGGCTTACCTGAGGAGCTGACTTCTAAAAATAAACAAACTGACAATTCAAAACCATTCGGTGGCGTGTTTGCTGCCGCGTCCGGCCGCGTCCGCTGCCTCCAAGTCTTCTGCCACCCGCTGCAGCGCCCGCTGCGCAAGGCGCTGGGAGAAACGCCGCGCGAAGGCCGTGGCACCTGATTTTTACAAAAAAAGTCCAGCGGGGCCCTTGCGAAATTGGTTGGTTTCTCCCGCAGCCCTTAGAGACAGAAACACTGCCAAACTCCCATGTCAGTCTCAACTTGAGACAGCTCCAATTACAAAAACATGCAATTTGGTGCTGAGCGAGATCTTGATCCCAACCAGCACAGTGACCTTACGGTCGTCAAGCACGCGCCTGGCACAAGCGAGGGCCCCAAGCCTGTGGCCAGCTGCACTAAGCGCTGGAGGTCCTGCAAAAAGAGCCCGCGGAATAACCAAAGTTTTTAACAGCAATGGCCTCCAACATGATAGCGATGGCCTCCAACCTACTAGCAATGGCCCCCAACCTCACAGCGATGGCCTCCAACCGCATAGCAACATGGCCTCCAACCTAATAGCAACTGCCTCCAACCTCATAGCAATGGCCTCTAACGTAATAGCGATGGCTTCCAACCTAATAGCAATGGCCTCCAACCGAATAGCAATGGTCTCCAACCTAATAGCGATCGCCTCTAACCTACAATAGCAACGGCCTCGAACCTATAGCGAGGCCTCCAACCTTTTCGACTACCTCCGGCAAGGTTTTTGCCAGGCTGCCTGATTCGGAATGAAAACCGGAGTATATACAATCAGCTTGTACATGGCCCACACTTCTCTTCCCTGTATACATCGTTCCAAATTTGTCGGAAGGTACTCTGCTGCGCCCAGCAGTGTTACAGCTCGTCGTACCTGCAGGGCTAATGACTCAAGCTTTAGGGCCTGAATTGGCAGGCCTTTTTGGCTTGCATAAACTGTAAGGCATCCGTGTAGGCTCACCTAGATTCCATCGCCGCTAAATTCTATGTCTCTATAGGAGGTAGTATACCGGATGCCCTTGATTCCCCGAGAAGCGCAACATCCACGGACCCACGGGCCCACGGCCCACGGGCTCACACGGGTGTCGCGCACGAGCTCCAGGGACAGGAAAAAGGGAGAGACACAAGACATAAGATAAATTAGATCAGAGAAGAAAAGAAAATCTAAGATAAGATAAAGCAAGCTAGGACAAGATAGCGCAAGAAAAGACTAGAAAATGTCAGATAAGTTAAGATAAGATAAGAGAAGATACGATGAGATGAGGTAAGATAAGGTAAGGAAAGGTACGTTGAGAGGTCGATCGGGAGATGGCTTCGATCGGGTAGACAGATTAGATCGAGAAGATAGACTAGGTACCTTGGAAAGATGAGAAAGATTGGACCTGAAGAGATCAGATGAGAACAGACTAGAAAGGTCAGACGAGATACGGAAGGACAAGATACGTGGATCGGTAGATAGGAACAGATATAGATAGATTCGATCGAGTAGCTCGGGTAGATATATAGATGGATTCGATCGAGTAGATGAGGCAAAGATCAGGTAGAGGCGATAGACTGGATCGACTGCAAAGATTAGATAGGGTTTGTAAGCAGTGACAGCTAGGGCAAACAGGATAGATAGGACACACGAGCTCAGCTCACCGAACGCACATTCCCACGACATTTGGGATACCAAGCTTCCGTGCAAGAAACATCTTCAAAAAACTTCAACCGGGAACATGACAGGAGATAGACAGATAAGGTTAGATCAAAAAAGGATCAGAGAAGAGAAGAAAGCATGAGGTAAGATGAGGTAAGGAATCACACGCCAATCAACATCTCACTTGAAGACATGTCCCACGCAGCTGGGTCCCCTGAGAGAGCGCTTACTACTTACTAGCTGCATGCTATTTACAAAGTAAACTCATCAACGACCTACTTACATCTACTTAGCGCTAAAGCGCTGAACTCGGGTTGGACTTCGGTGTATGTAAAACAACTCTGACAGTTGAAGTTAGGTTGAATATATAAGTAGCATTTGCTGGCACTACAGAGAACTTGCGTAGCGTCTTCCGTCAAAAAAAGGGCACATCAACACGCGTCTGAGTTCCAATCTGACGACTGCCTAACAACCGAAATGCGTGACATGCGTCACTCTTTACTTTTGCCCAAGCACTATCTTGAGCGCCTGCCTCGACACGAAAACGCGCTTGCTTGAATTCTGCAACCCGCCCAATCACGCAGCGGCGCAGCGGTTTGGATAAGAATCAACTGTCCATCTCCGCCCAAGTCAAATGTCCAGTGATGCATGGGAAAAATGCTCTGTTTGAAATTCAATATCCAAAGGTCAAGCTGGAAAGATTGGCAAGAAAGATGTTCAAGTCAAGCTTTGAGGGCTGCTGAGCAAGGACTAACACAGGAATCCGAAATTCAGCCAAAAAAAGCAAGGAGCGCCAGTCTCAGGATGAACTTGAAGATGAGGAAGCACCGTGGCAGACGGTTAGATGATATGAAAGGGGGTGCTGACTGGACATGGTAGGGATGAAAGCATTTTGCTTACGGATTGCATCAGCCCTTGCCTATGGACATGACAGAGGGTACACCCTGAGATGTAAAGGGCCTACGCTTCAAATAACCCTGAGCTTCATTATAAACATGGTTCCCTATTATCATCATCATCCTCCTCCTCGTCCTCATCCTAATCCTAATCCTCATCAAAAGCGCCGTCCTCACGTCTGCCCACGGGTTCGGGTCCATCGGGATTACGGGCCATGGCCGATCCCCCAAGCAACCGCCAAATAGCATCGCGCACTCAGCTAAGCCTACACCACGCTGTGGGACCGCTGACAAGGAGATATGTCTGTTGGTTGAGTTTCTCGGGGGTTGGTGGGATCTCTCCAGGGCCTGTCTTTGTGGATCATCGCACTGAGACATCGCCAAGCTACAAGGGGCAGGACCAAGGTTCCACCAGAGCGACCCCCGATAGCGACTGGTCAACTGGAATCATCACACCTCACTCAACTTCAAAATCAGGCGCTCTGTCTGCATCGGCTATCTTGCTTTTTCATGATCCTGCGTGACTGCGTTTACTGCGTCTTTGCCACAACTTTGCGTGGGTCCGGTTTTACTAACTGCAAGGGTTGGCCCCGACCTCGGAGCCTCGCGCGCATGCTTTTCAGCCTCCCAGAACGCTAAATCAGCTGGCAAATCAACCACTGTTTTCGCGAGCAGCCAGCAAAATTAGCAGCTGCCAAACACATGCGTAGTGTGAAAACACGGTAGCCTTGCTTTCGTGGCTTGGCTCAACTACAAAGAAGGTACAAGAACGCGCGCTATATCACAGGTAGAACGATTATTTCAACACTTTTGTTGAGAGTCAGGAGGACACCCAAAGAAATGTTTAGTTGATTATTTCTTTTGAGATGTTTTATGAATATTCTATAAAAACTAATTGGTTCTCAATTTTTGGAGGTTCCATTTTTATGGTGTTTATGATATTTTTGCTTTTTTGTCTTTGTGATTTGTTTTATGATTTTTCTTGCGTTTTTATGATTTTTACTGGTTTTCATTGACTTTCAAAAAATCGGAAAATCGACAAAAATGGTTAAAATGTATTTTAAAAAATGTTTCATAAAAATCATAAACTTTTCAAAACAGAATTTCATAAGTTTAATGCTATATTTTTTGCGATTTATTGAGAATCAAAAATCTATATTTTCATGCATTTTTGATGATGTTATGAATTGGCTTATGATTTTTGTATGAAAAATATGAATGTTTTATGAAAAGTTTGTGCTTTGTTTATGATTGTTCAATGAATTTTGTATGTTTTGTTGAGCAAACCAAGAAATCATAAAGTAGTTCATTAAACATTCTGAAAATATTGAATTAAAAACATACAGGTAAAAAAGACCAGCTTTTTTGGTTCATAAATGCGTTTCATATTTTTTCATAAATAAATCAAAAACACATGTTGGAAACCATGTTTTCTAGCCTCTCCCCAACTCACAACACTTTCGTTGTAAATCTCACTATTATTCAACAATTTGCTCTTGCGCGGGAATTCTCTTAATTTGTCAAATCAGCTGCTGTTTTTTGTTTGCTTGCGCTTTGCTGAGAGGACATTCTCCCGCCACACCTTCAGCCTTGCTAGCTCTTCAGCGTCTGCATCAGTCAAGGGTGTCGGAGCGGCAAAAACAGTAGCCACTTCTCGAGCTGCCTCGTCATCACCATCCAAATGACCAGCAGAGCCTGTACCCGTAGCTTTCGCGGCTGACATTGGCTCACCTGACCGCTCGATGCTTTTGCGCCACCCGAGGCGCGCTTGGCTGTTTGCAAGGCATTCCAGATGTAGGGGGGCCTGGTGATCTGTTTGACCGCCTGCGCACCAGCTTGCAGCCAACTGGAAGTCAAATGCTGTTTCTTTACCTCTCGCTTCTTGCAGCCAGACAAAGACGCGGTACATGGTCTTGCTCAGCTGTGGCCCTTGGTGGCGCCCGTGGTCAACATAGCCTTTTCCGTTACGGCTTTGGTGGAATTGGTTAGTGGTCCAGGTGGGTTTGGTGAAACCGTTTTGGGTGGAGTTTGCAGGACACATGCCCTTGGTGGAAATTCCGGTGGAAATGGCAGGTGGAATATCCTTGCGCCAGCGTTCCACACACCTCTAGTAGGCCACTGGCTGATGGAATCTTTAACGATGTTGGGAGGCAATTCCTTAGCGGCCTTTGGAAGTCCAGCTCCAGACGTGCCCCTGCAGTGCCTTTGTGGCCATTCAAGCCCACCCCAGAGGCGTGTGCATTCTTGAACTTGTTCTGTGGCAACACCTCCAAGTGACTTCCCAGCCAAATTAATTTCCTCACTACTAGTATATTAGTCCGTGGTCTGAGCTGCAGCTTCACGCGAAAGAGCCCCTGCGCGCAGCAGATCCCACTCGGTATTTGAAGATCAGCCGCAGGTCTCTGACAAAATTTTGCGCGCGCAGACTCAAGACCTTCAGCTTCTTCATGAAGTCCCGCCACAAGAGATCATAAACCGGTCATTCTTGCTGAACTCAGACATGCCATTGAGAGGCAGGAGGTTTGCGAACGCGTCTTGCGCGAGCATCTGCGTCGCCGATGTGACAAGGCGCACAGTCCTCCTCCTAGAGCACCAGTGCATCTTGCGCCACCTTGCACAGATTTCGAAGCCGCAAGATTGCGCCGGCAAAAGTTCCTCTCGCATCTGACCTTGGGCGTAGTGTGAGCCTTGATCAGAAAAATCTTTCTGGATCAGCTTCCGTGCCGCATCTGGGGGCTTTGAAAAGATCAAGACGCCAAACCTTTCATCACTGGCGAGAAGCATATCCCAGCAGTGAAAGATTGGCGTCCATCAGAGACCCTCTTGACATGTCCCACACGATTTCACCTAAGGGACGCAGGTCTGCTGGTGGAAAGCCCACGGAGGAACACCATGTGGTTGCAAGCCTTGGTGGCGCCAGATTCGGCGGAGCTTGGTGGAAAAACCATGGAGGAACACCACATGGGCGCAGCCCTTCGTGGAAAGATGTCCTTGGTGGAGGAACACCACCTCTTCTGCCACCGCTGTCGCCCAGCAGCGCAAGCCGAAGCGACTGTCCACTTAAAACCGTCCAGGAGCCACAACAGAAACCCCCAAGGAGAAGTACATCAATGGCTGCTATTGGCAACTTCTCAGCCTGTCCCCTCACCACAGCTACCTCGTAGACCGGTCGCCGGGATTTGCATTCGAGGTTTCTCGGCAGGAAGCTATGCTGGACTTCTACTTGCATTACTTGTGCATCACCTCCGATTTGATATGGCCTCCAACCTAATAGCAATGGCATCCAACCTAGTAGCGATGGCCTCCAACCTGCCTCCAACCAAAGAAAAGACACCCAAAAACACAATCTGGTGTGCACTGGGTGCAATGTGGCTTCAAGGCCCCTTTCCCATTCCAGGATCCAAACCTTCAACTTTTCAATAAGAAAACTTTTTGCTGAGAAGTACAATGATGTCACTCCATCCTCAGCCTGCTCCTACTTCTTGCTATTCTAGGTGAGTCCTCAACAACTTCCCAATCCACACCATCCAGCTAGCTCCTCCAAAGACCCTGTGGGCGTTGTGGCAGGCTGCCCTGCCTGGACCGCCGGGGTGCGCTCGGATTCGGTGCTGTGGCTGCAGTTTGTCCAACCAACTGATCTCAACATCCTGCCTGAATGATCTGAACAATCTTGCGGATGACCAGGAGAGCTTGCTTGTCCTTTCACACCGGCCCTACATCTTTTCAAAAGCCAATAAATGAAGATCAAAGATTCAGACCGCTTTGCAAAGGTCCACACTCAAACCACTTTGACATAGACTCAAGTGACAGCCTTGGAACCTAGGAACTGTTGGCTTCTTGAAACTGTCAAAAAATCAGCTGACAATTTAAGGTCACTTCCAAAACGAACCTACCTATCTACATGAATAGCCTCTCTATCTCGCCTCTCGTGTGAGGAGCCTCTCTTCCAGCTGGTCACCCAACAATAAACGCCTCAGCTTCTGCACGCAGAAGAAGGGAGACCGAGTTGATCAGCGAGGAGAAGTACGGCCAGGAGCTACTAGTAGCTTCTTGCTCCTAGTAGCGATGCCCTTTGCTCCTAGTAGCTATTTGCTAGTAGTAGTAATGCCCTTGCTGCTAATCTCTGCTTTGGCACCTGTTGCGTGAAAAGTATACTGCTTGGCGACGTATGGATTTGAACCCACGGCCGCAAGTGGTAACTAAACCCGCTATTCAGGAGCAAATGCAGTTGAGTGTTTCGCATTCTTGCGGTCTGTTGTCAAGAATTCAACTCCAAACACCTTTGGCTGGGTACACACGCAAGCTTTTAGTCTGGCATACAATCGGCATATTGATCAATCGTCTTGCTTTGGCACCAAATTGGTTCCACAATGTTCCACAGGAAATCTGCTGAGTCTCGACTATATAAAATATTTTCTTGGTATGTCATTATTTTCAGGATATGTTCGGAATCGTGCACCTGATTCAAAAGGGTGTCAAGCCAAACACCCGACCCTCATGAGTCAGGTGGTCTAGCGATGGCCTCCAACCTCTCGACTTTGACTGCTTCATATCCGATTCTGCTAAGCTACAAAGGTGCGGCCACTGGAACCGCCAAAGGCCCCAAAGGGGTGAGCGCTCTCACCGCCTGCAGCACCTGAGCAAACGGATCGGAAAGTCACCGCAACTTGTCACTCTCCAACCAGCAAGGACGCTGCTAGGGGCTCCTGGCCTTACTACTAGGAGCATTCTTACATATTCTTAGTACTAGTAACAAGAAGCTACTTGGAACAAAGGGCATCGCCACTAGACACTAACTTCTACTACTAGACATCTAGCTGGGCATTGCATCCAAAGAACAGCTGCGCGCGAAAGGGCGTCCACTGCTGCCACACCCTCCTCAATCAAAATCTCTTGCAGAAAGTTGCCATCCTGGCGGAGTTGGAACAAGGACGCTACTAGGAACAAAGGGCATCCCTACTAGGAGCAAGGACGCTACGAGGGGCTCCTGGCCTTACTACTAGGAACAAAGGGTTGTTGCAGTTCTCCATCCAGGAGTGCCCATTCTCTACCCTCAAGGGCCGTTCCACAAGCCACCAGTCTGCCAGTCAGCGTAAATCCATTGTGTTTCTCGTTGATCCCTCAAAGTGTCCATCCTTTTTTGTGATAGTCAAACTCGTGAGGCGAGTTTCACCATAAATTAAGTCAAGAGTCTGGCAAAAACAGGACAGCGGCAATATCTTTCCTGGCAGAGCATCACATCGATGAGTGATGGTCTGACAGGCCATGTGGAGTGTGGTACGGTCAGAGGCCTAAATAGTGTCATCAATGACCAATAGGCCAATAGGTTCCAAATCGAATGTGTTTCCAAAACACCAAGATGAAGGATGAAAAGGGAATGAAAAGGGCTTATTCGTGATCTGTTGCTTGAGGAGTGTCATGGGAATCTATGATACAGCCCTCCATGCATCACCTTTTGCAATTTAAAACCCACAAGCCATGACTTCTGCCATGAGCCATAAAAGAAGATGCCGATAATCTCTGCCAGGCGCACGTCGCCAGATCGAGATCGTTAGCAATCGTGGCATCCGCATTCGTCGTTTGCTCTTGTTCCGGCGTCGGCGCGCCGGCGGCAGCGGCCTGGCCGCGGTCTCCCTTCCTCGGCTGAAGAGGGTCGCAAGGCAACGAGGTCAGGAAAGGTCTAGGCCAGTGTTGCAGGCATCGATTTTAGATGGAACTGCATCTGATTCGAATTCATGACTCTTTCATAGTTGATATGAGTAACGGAGCACGTGCAGGTCCTTGAGGCATGTAAAACTGCTGCATTCCTTTCGCTCTGATGCGTGCTGACCAAGCGGCATCAGATTCGTGAAGGTCCTAAAGCCTTCGAAAGCGGCATCAGCACGGCAACTCTGTGCATCGTATTGCACGGTCAAGAGGTCGGAGGTCCATATGGTCTTTAATCCAAACATGGCAAGTTGGAGCCCATAACATGCCTGACATCCAGAGTGAAAGCCTACTGTCGAAGGAACAAGCCACACACGTCTTCCGAGCTACAAGTCTGAGGTCTGGTGGCTGTACTCAGAGCTCTTTTCGTCTCGGTCCTTCCCGGAACATCCCGGAGAACAATGCGCATCACTGACCGTACCTTGAGAGAGGCTATCCAGGCGGTCAGGTGCAATCCGGCTGCGGCCCTTGTAGAGATAAGCCTTCAGCGCCTCCAGAGTTTCAACATCTCTATCAGAACTAGCAAAATTAAGTGCACAACCACTGAAAACCCTTCGGGACGACCCTCTGGTCCGGGGCAAGGCCCAAGTCTCCATCTCAGGTGGTTTCACACTGCGTGCGCCTCCCGAATCCGGAGGCTGTCGTCCGTGAGCAAGCGCCGGGCGATATAGGGGAAGGTTTCCGACCTAAGGCGGGCGAAGGGAAACGCCTTATTGGAACGAAAGCATATGGACAAACCAATCGGAAAGATAAAATGCAAAGATTTCGCTTCAAGGAGCTTCAAGGAGAAGGAGGAACTCGCTCTCAAGCCAACGCCTTCCAAGGTGGCCAATGCTCGGATGATGAGCGTGGCATAGCCTGCCATCGTCCAGTTGCAAATGCATGCAGATGCCACCGCCTAGTGGAATGTTCAGACTTTAAACTTTAGGACTGCGTCATACTGCGTCCCTACTCCATGGCGCCATTCTTTTTCTGCGTCTGAACACCTCCAAGCTAGCTGTTGAGATTGAAATAACGGGGGATCAACAGCGGTCAAAAGACTGAGGCTGCCTGACTGCCTGAGGTCTGAAACGACTGACGGAGCGCCTGGCAGCTGAAAGGAGCCGTACTTCCGTGCAATGTTCTGGAGCTCACTCTGTAAGACCTCGAGCTTTCCAGAGGCCTCCAGCTCCTGACAATCAACGTCTGATAGTTGGTTGACAAGCAAACCAATCCATGCATAATCGGCAGTAAATCAGATTGGCACAGTTATTAGTTATTGGCTACCAAACTGCCAATCGAAACGGCTAGCTAGTGACGACTCCTGAGAAACTCCCTCAGATGGACTCGGACTGAGAAACTCGCCTCCATACCTCGCGTTTTCCCCACCTCGCGTTGTTTGATGAACTTCTCTCTCTGCACCCGCAAATCGCTCTGGTCGAAGAGGATGTTCAACGTCTCCGCCTGAAAGAAGAAAGGGGCACGGCACAGACTGGCTAGGCGAAAGACTTCTGCCACCTGTAAGTTCAAGGTGATCTTACGGATTCCTTTCACTGTGCTTCCCAAGCTAAGACCCCTGTCTTATCGTTCAATGCTGAGTCTTCGGCTAGTCTTGGAACAATGACCTCGCGTGCCTCCTGAGCTGTCGAAGGTCGGGCGAGAGACCAAGATTAGAAAGAATAGCTGAGTCATACTAGAAACAATAAGCTACTAGTAACAAGTGCATCGCTTCTAGTAACAAGTGCCTTACTAGTAGTAACAAGAAGCCATTAGAAACAAGAATTGTTAGAAAAGATTCTGAGTGGATCCGTCACCCGTGAGTTTACGACACTTGGGTGTTTGTGGAGGTTGTGTAATCCTGGAATCTATCTCCGAAAAAGGGCTGAAGTGATCCGTAGTAGGTTGGAGGCCATCGCCAGATCTTTCAGCTCTGTCCAGTCCTTATCGTTGGCAATGCCTTCAGGCAGGAACTCCAGGGTTACCAAGTCTTGCAGGCACCTGAAAGTCAGGTGATTCAGACTCCAGACATGGCAGGTCGAGTCAAGGTAGCTTGAAATGGTGAACGTGATGGGGGTTCGCTTGCCAGGTGGATGTTAAAAGGCGGCGAAAGAAATCGTCAGAGACCAGCGAGTCTCTCGAAGAAATCGTCAGAGAGACCTGTGGCCACCTGTGAACGAAATGGCAAGCGGAAACCGCCGCTTTTGGATCACTCAGGAGCCAACTCGTCGTACATGTTGGCCTGGACCTGGGTTGAAAGCTCTCGGTTCATCATTTCGCTCCGGTTCTCCACCAAGTAGTCGGGTTCCCATGAATGCTGAAGCAAAACATCAAAAACGTTGGGGACCTGGTTGGTGGAATGTCTTTTACTTGCTTTATCATAGTATCTTCGATCAGACTGGAGGACATGCTAAACTCAAGAGTTCCAACCCTCTCATGAAACCTGCTCGTGCCCAAGCTTTGCAAAGATTCATGACTTCAGGCATCGTCTCTTAGAGCCTGGCATGCATCAAGTACTGGATCAGTGCCACTCTCTTGTCCTCCGAGATTCGAGTCATCAGGCCATAGTCCAAGATTCCTAGGTCAGGCACATCAGTTCGCAGGGCGGGAAATGAGCTCAAATGAGTTTGCTTCCTTGCTCCTAGTAGTACGGCCAGGAGCCCCTAGTAGCTTTTTGTTCCTAGTAGTAAGGCCAGGAGCCCCTAGTAGCGTCCTTGCTCCTAGTAGCGATGCCAGGTCCTTTCTTTCAGTTCTGGCCTTCAGGGTGGGCGTTTCCTGCTTTCCGCCGTCCTTGCGCTGCTCGTCTACCTTCCGAATCCTTTTGACTAAGTCAGGCAGTGGCTCTTGCGGGAGATGATTCCTAAAGATTGTCAATCTACTCAAGAAACGCACGCAAAGCAAAAAAGGACTCCAAACAACTCCATGGCTGCCCAGTGTTCCTGTTTCCCGTGGTCCTAACCTATCGACCACCAATATGAGTACACTTCCCAGTTTTTGACTGGATTCTTTTTGAATGGCTTTGGGCTCCAACGCTCAGTTGAAACACAAAAACCCTTTCTGATACAGTACAACCTTGGCTATGTGTTGTGCTCTTCGTTTTCATATTCTTCACATGGTGCAGTCTCGACACTCTAATGCTACACTCTGTGGCAAGCCTATTTCCAATGGACTGGATCAAATACTAAGCCAATGCTTCCCAACACGAGAAGGGAAGATTGAGCTTCTCATCAGCCCAGCGTCCGATCTTGCCCGAGGGCATCAGCACGAAGTTGCCTGGATGGGGATCCTCGGTGTTTTGTCTTTCACCGATCTCAAAGTTGGGTGGTCCGACACTGCTGGCAGTTTGTCGGTGGTAAGAGAGCATGACAAGTTGCGTGATGCAAACAGAGGGCACCTGTTTGTGTTTTCGGGGTCGGTGCGGCTGAAGTTTGGCCATTTGCCAACCCATACGGAACTCACATTGTTGAGGGATGTTGAGGGAGTCTTCATCAATTCCATGACTCAATTGACTCAATGAATGCTTCGAAAACGTTTTGTTTCATTGGTCACCCGGTGAAGCCATTTTGTCAATTTGAGTCTGAACGTCTGAACCATCCCCACTGGGATGTATGAGCCCAAGGATCTCCATGAAGGAAACCGGTCTCCAGGAGTTGCACCATGTAGGAGTTCAGCAGCACTTTCACCTCGAGAGGCTCTCATATATGGCGCATAAGCAACGTTGCTGGCCTTTGTCGAAAATAATGATCTTAACTGGATCCCAAGGGCGCTCTATCCGCGACACAATTGGTGCACAACTGTGAGACAACACCGAAACAAGTTCGAGCTAAACGGGGTATAAAAAGAAAGACCGGACGTTAGTGCCTCTTACCAATAGCAAATGGCGCAGGCTGGGCAGCCCCACCACTTGCTGCGCCTGGTCCTTGGCAGCTCCTGGCTCAGTCAGCTTCTTCCCTGGCAACCATTCCTGCAGGTGGCGGCCACTGGCGGCCACTGGCAAACTTAGCCACTTGCCTTTAGGATGTGCACCTCAATGCGTTTGAATATCATCATGTTCGAGCTGAGGATTTGCACCTCAAGGACCCTGCTTCCAAGAGATGAACAATCAAACCTTCCACGTGTTCTTTAAAAAAGGGGGTAGGCCGTTAGTGGAAGAGGTGTAGCTAGTAATAGAAGTGGAATGGTAGCTAGTAGCTTAAGTAGCTACTAGCTACTGGACGCAGGATAACTCAAGCTATTCATTTGGTTCCTAGATTTTTAGCGAAACTTAATTTGTTCCCCACATTGACGTGTGGGGTTTTTGTTTTTAGTGTTGGATCCGCTCCTTCCTTCTCCTCCTCCTCCCGCCTCCCGCTTGTCACCAACCACTTGGCATCAACCGATGATGGGCCAACAACAACAACAGCAGCAATTATAGGACCGGATAACCCCACATGTTAGCAACTTAGCAAGAGAGAATGTCTGCGTAGGTGGTTGGTGACAATTGGTGGGTGGCAATTGGTTGGTGTGACAACTGATTGATGACAATTGGTTGAGGACCATGTTTGAGGGAAAAAAGGCCCTCAAAAATAATCCTTTCAGAAGGGCAGAGACCTACCAACCAGTTGTCACCAACCAATTGTCACCAACCAATTGCCACCAACTAGTTGTCACCAACCAATTGTCATCAACCAATTGCCACCCACAATCAATTGCCACCCACCAATTGCTACCAACAAAGTGCTAACAACGAATTGTCACCAACCAGTTGCTACCAACCAATTGTCACCAACCAAGTGTCACCAACCAGTTGCTACCAACCAATTGTCACCAACCAATTGTCGTCAACCAATTGCCACCAACAATCTTCCACCCACAAACTGCCACCAACAAACTGCCACCAACCAATTGTCACCCACCAACCACCAATTGTCCGCTCCTGTGTCTGGTGAAGTTGTGAACATGTGGGGTTATCCGGTCCTATGATTTTTTCAGAAAGGAGAAACGCAAGTAAGTTTGCCGATGATATTCAATGAAGATCATTTCTACAATCCAAAGTGACAAAGTGACTTCACCAACACTCATTGCGCGCCATCCTACCAGCAGCCCACGCTAAACTCACTCATTTACCACGTGAGAACAACTGCTGTTGGGGGATGCACTCGCACTTCATTCATTGCCTGGATGAGAACTTCCCGAGAGGCTTTGATCACCTCCGGCACCTGCACAGTGTCTGAGACCTGCGCTGCGTCTTCGTCTCTTCTACAGACGAGTACCCCTTCCATCTTCTCGGAGAAAGGAGAGTATTTTGGAACCAGCAGCCGAACCAAACAAAAGGACCCGAAGAAACAGTTTCCCAACGTCGAACGCCAAAGGGTGGTCAATTACATTTACTCCGTACGCTTTTGGGTCTCACAATCCTACCTGAGGTCATTCACCCCAGCGAGACTTCCTACGAAGGAACGTTGGTACGCGACCAGTGCTGCGACTATTGGGAGGATACCGGTCTTGGTCTGGATGCAAATCACATGTTGGTCGAGGAAGAACACCTGCGAAACTCAACAGTTCTTGTGGCTATCCCATGGTATATTCTTGTCAATTCTTGTCATGAGTCTGCACCGAAATGGTCAGGATAAAGAACTTCTCGCAGATCAAACTGCTTTTTGCAGTGTTTATCTTTTGAGCATGGCACCCGTCATTGTGTTTGCAAGCTTCTGAACACTTGAGCAGCACAGCTCGCACTCGAACAAGTGGGCGCACCAAATCACACTTGGCAATCAGCTCGGCGAACTCCGTCTGATTGCTGGCCTCGAACTCCTCAGTGCGACGAACGGAACGAACAAAACTCTTGGGACGGAGTGTCCTTTTTGTCTTGTTGCCCTTCGCGGCATGACCAGTGCTCGTTTGGTGTTTTTTGTGTAATCTTTCCAAGGCAACTGTGTTTTTTGGGTCGAATTGTTTGAACAATCCCAGTCTCACTCTGTGGCCCTGCACCATCACCAAATGAAATGCTGACAGGTGTCCCAACTTCTTACACAAGGTTCCAAGCAACAAGATGCCTTGTCATGTTGATAACTTTTGGGATTGAACAATTTGAACTGCAAATCAATAATTGTTTGAACCAATTGGACGCTACTAGGGGCTCCTGGCATCGCTACGAACGGAACAAAGGGCATCGAGATGAACGTAAGGGCAACAATGGGCATCTCTTTTTGCCAAGGTGCGTAATCGAGCTCTTCGATGAACGGGGGCGCTGCACGGTCCACCAATTGGAACAAGCTTCGGAACCTCCAGGCGGGAGGGGATTCGAATCGCCCGTCCGAGTTGAAAAGTGATCTAGTCCGAGCAGTGAAACAGAAATGCGCTGGATGGAGTATGTAACAGTACTGATACTATCAATATTATCGAAAAAAAAGAACGGTCCAAAGGAGTCCAAAGGTCTACAGAATATCTTCAGTAAATCTGCTGTAAGAGAAAGCCACAGGAACATGGACCGAACACCAAGACATCAAATGCACCGCTTGGCTATCTCTCCAAGTGCAGAGCTGGCGCGCATACCTCTCGATGGGAGAAAAAGAGCCTGTCGGCTTCGAAGCGTGAGCCCCTGTGCGCACAAACCGTGGAAATTGGAACACCGCTGCCAGGTCAAAATTCCAAGAACTGCACCAACTGCACCAACTAGCAACGTACGTGCCAACTACAAAAGGCCAAGGATGCCAGGAAAAAAACGGTATTGTAACAGCCTAATTCACTCTTGTTCTTCCTATCGTCCCCAAAACCAATCCCCTTCATGCTTGCATCAAAAGTAATAAGTAAACCTTCTAGAAGTTGCCGAACAGCACGTCTTCTTCACCTCGGATTTCACTGTCATGTCAAGCAAGGCAGGGGTTGTGTCATCAAGGTTCTTCAGTGAAAGCATGTGCTCCAACACTCTAGTTTCAACTTTGCCAACACTCTGGCTGGATGAGAAACCTTGTATATTCAATACTCAAACGCAATACATTCGACCTTGGTCAAGCCTTCTACCTAGCTCAAAGTAAGCAACAGCTCGCCAGTTGAAAGCTCGTCATCAGGAACTCAATCGTAAAAGAGCTGATGATGGAAGGATCGACAGGTCCATTGATATTATGTAGAAGGGGATATTGATCGAGTCACCATATCACCGTCACAGTCATATCTCCCATTCCTTGATGGATCGAGGCATCATATCTCCTGTTCTGCGACGCAATCCATGTGCTGCACTAACTTTTTCGATTGCCAGTCAGAGGCCATCTCGGCCTATCAGGAATGCACTAGAACAGTCGGGCATCCAAGCGTTTTGATTGGTGCACTTTGACACTCATCGTTTGCCATCGGCTCAGTATGCACTCTTGTAGTCGCTTTGAACAAATGGAGCTGCCAGAATTGATGGTAGGAGTGTAAACATCTCCTTCACATGCTCCGTGGCCATGTGTTCCTTCACAGCTTCCACCGACTTGTAGCGCTGCCAAAGGTTGTAGGTATTGGGCTTCTTCATATCCTTAGAAAGCAGAAAGATTAGACATCAAACATAAACGAGAAAAGCGGTTCAAGACTACATGCTGCCATACTGAAAAACTCATGGCATGTATAGGCCGCATAGTACAACAAGCAAGACTACTGCTCGCCAAAGAATCCTTGAGAAGATCGTATTGCAGCACTCCAGGCTCGGCTCGTGACTTCTCCAGGTTGTCTTTGAAGATCGCAAGGAATTCTTCATCTTTGCCTTCCTTGACAGTCAGCTCAAGCGTGTAGCAGGGCTCGAAAGCGTCAGCCATTGGCACGAAGCACGCTTAGCGCAGGAAGAGACGCACGAAGCACGTGGGGCTAAAGTTGAAGCCTAAAGACCTGAACTTAACTGCTTGCGGGAGACTCACTGTCTGCGCTGGATGAAGGCGATGCAAGCCACTCATCTCTACCGCACTCTAGGCCCCCTCTGCAGTGATGGAACCCATGCTGTCTGACAAACAGTGCGCAAACATTATACTTCCTTGAAGCACAACATACTAATAGTAATAGTAGGTGCAGTGCCATCTGGGCGTCCGCGCGAACTTTGCAAGAAGTCGATGAAGACGGATCAGCGCAAACAAATTGAGAACAGTGAGTGGAAAAAAAAAAGAAAACACATCTGAAGCCAACGGAAAGCACGAGAATCCAAGCCACGGTGAAAGAGCCTTCTGGAAGAATTATTGCCAAAGAACGAAGATCAACATGAGGCCAACAAGCGATGATCGAAAGTAGGGGCCTATGCTGGCGATCTGCCGAACCACGAAGAGGTCCAAAGTCACTTGCTCCCGAACATCCGGGCGCTGGACCTTGACCGCCACCTGGAGTTCACGAGGACGAAAGTAATGAGTGAAGGTTTCAACTGATGTGATGAAGTGGTTTCAGTGGGTGTCATACGGCATCACTTCCAGGATGCGCCTAGCACAAGCTTGCAAGCTTTGATGCTATGTATGTGCACTTATGTATAGTCACTATAGGGTTGTGGTGTGGCAAAGAAATGTCTGTGTCCAGGAGTACTTTTTGACTGTCAAGCTCCTTACCCGTCGGCAGGTACATGCACAGCAACTGCTGTGCTTTTGTCGTTCTGTAGAGCGAGCGATTCTGCTTGGCACTTCTCGCAGAACATGTGCACAGGAGTATATGCTGATTTAGATGACCTCCAGTTACGCCCGCTAAAGGCTTTCAGCATATGAAAGAGCGTCTCTGATGCAAAATGCATGCTGGTTTGCACTTTGCGAGAAAATGGGCAAACCAACGAAAACAAAACTACACCAAAAGGTGTGGGACTGCGTTTAATCTTCACAGAGCCCCTTTTCTGGGAACCCCTTTTCTTGATAAAATCTGCACAAACCAAAGCACATTCAGGAAAAGCTCCAACTCTTCAGAACAAAAGAAACAACTTCAGAGCAGAAGTTACAGTTGGCTCCACCAGCTCCAGCCTGCCGCCCTGACATGCGTGCGCGATAGACTTGGCCCACTGAAGCCGCCGCCACCTGACGCGTCATTTGTAATTACTCAGTGACGAAAAGGAGCTTGGAAGAAAGCAGAATCCAATCAGGTCCTTGCCTAGTAGCGTCCTTGCTCCTAGTAGCGATGCCCTTTGCTCCTAGTAGCGTCCTTGCTCCTAGTAGTAGGCCAGGAGCCCCTAGTAGCGTCCTTGGAGCCCCTAGCACCGTCCTTGCTCCTAGTAGCGATGCCCTTTGCTCCTAGTAGCGTCCTTGCTCCTAGTAGTAAGGCCAGGAGCCCCTAGTAGCGTCCTTGCTCCTAGTAGCGGTGCCAGGAGTAAGGCCAGGAGCCCCTAGTAGCGGCCTTGCTCCTAGAAGTAAGGCCAGGAGCCCCTAATAGCATCCTTGCTCCTAGTAGTAAGGCCAGGAGCCCCTAGTAGCGTCCTTGCTCCTAGTAGCGATGCCAGGAGCCCCTAGTAGCGTCCTTGCTCCTAGTAG